TCTTGTCATTTAAGGACGTTGGTCTCGAGGTTCAATTCAAGCCTTTTCCGAAGAATAAACATGATTGATGGTTACTATGAGTTTTAAAGGATATTTTCCGCATCTCAAGTTCAAATAGAGAGAGTCTTCTCAACCTTTTAGTTCTTTACTTCTTTTTCTTTTGTAATTTCTCTTGTTTATAAGTGTACTATTTTCATGTAAGAACTTGTTTACATTTGAATGCTTATCTTAATACAATGAATATGTTTGTCTTAAAGAAACCCATTCGTTTCATTCATATTTGTTTTCAATTTTAAATTGCCTTTTGCATTATGGTACCAACTTGTTACCCATTCTCTTTCCCAGGAAGATATTGGAGGGAGGATGATGATATTAAAATTCAAAACTTATGGTTGTATGCTTTTGAATAAAACCACATTGACGATATACAGGCATTGTTTCAAATCCCCAAACACTAGAGATATAATGAAGATAATCCCTGGTTAACATCTTTGATCCTTGAAGTAGGAGTTTCTTTTCTATAAGAAAAAATCCTCATTTTTAACCTTAGGCACACTAGTCTTTAGTTAATTTGGTAGAGTGTTCAAATTTCAAAGGGAATACATTTCTAAAGATAAACCACAATGGTTATCTTTCATGAATCATGCGGTCAGAATATGTGGTAACCAAATGGTTCCATCAAAGAACGAGGCAACCATCACCCTCTCAACAGATCAAGACAAGTCAATGTCACACAGTTTGTTCAAAACAAAAAGAAAATAAAAATGAAAATCCCGCTAAGTCAAGTAACTTAGGAAAAAATTAGGGCATCCCGCTGGAATGCAAAATCAAATTCAAAAGAATTAGTCCAAGCAAAAGTTAGGGAAAATAAAAGAAAAAGCCCGCTAAGTCAAGTGACTTAGACAAAAATTAGGGCATTCCGCTGGAATATCAATTCAAAATAATTAGTCCAAGAAAAAGTTAGGGAAAATAAAAAGAAAAGCAAAAAGCAAAAAGCAAAAAGCAAAAAAAAAGTTACAAAGAAAAGACTACAAAGCAAAAGTCCTCAGCAAAGAACAAATCCGTGTGACTACAAACACGGAGACAAAAATTGGTGACTACCACTTAGAAATACTTATTGGTTCTTTAAACCATCGCAAGATCCTTTCTGAGAGATGAAAATTCATGTTGAATTAACTGAACTTAGTACTAGAGAACATCATGAAGAATGGGTCGGCACAAATAAACTTTGAGCCTTGAAATCTTTTTTATGAAAACCGTGAACTAGACCATATTACAACCATTAAAAGTTATAATTGAAACATAGTTTATTTCGAAAGCATACTTCAACGATATAGCATTCCTGACTCCCATGAGTTTTTCTAAATATTTGTGTTGGTATCATATGATTTTTTTATCTTTCAAACCAAAAAAAATCAATGTCGCATCCTGGCTAGTGATTTGCTCACAAGGTTTTGAGACATCTTTTTAATAAAATCTTTAAGACTTACATAATTGTTGCATTAGAATTTTCATTCTCAGAATAAACATTTTTCTGCTTGTAAAATAAATGATTGATATCAAGGAAGTTTACATTTTAGTACCAGTAAAGGACATGTTGCCTAGAAGAAGTTATTGAGCAAATAGTATGGAGAATTCGGTCAACCTGGGGAAGTTACATCGAGATTCGACAAATCTCTAGAAGCCCGTTGGTCAGGCATATTATCTTAAATGCATGCAGTCTAGGGAGAGTTGTGAATGTTATCTTGATCAACACGGAAAACTTGGGGCACCAAAGTTATTCCCAAGGGCATTTCCATATTCTTGTCAAGATAGTTACTATGCTTTCCCCCCACAAGCAGAGAATCTTCCTCAATCAAGACTGTTTCTCGTGATCTGCCTTGTAGAGGTATGCATGGTTTCCTCTATAGTTGTTGATCGGTTAGTGGGTTTCCTACAGGCTGTGGTGGGGTGGGGTGTTGGGGTTATGATCCCATTTCCACAGTTAAGTCTTGGTTCCGATTTTCCCCAAGTTGTTAAATGGTTTTGGTTTGGGTGGTTTGATACCTCTATCCCATATTCCTCAGTCGTGTCTTTATGCGAATTTCTATAGCGCCGTATGATTCCTCTTCCCCAGAAGGTGGTGATCTGGAAGAGATTGAAGAGTTATGAAGCCTTTACTCATTTTGTGGAGTTCTTTCTCCCATTGTATGTTGAGAATTGATGTATAATCTCTTGCAGAGCACTGCTCTCTCTATTTATAGCATTATTGTTGTTGTGTGCTCCCCAAATACCTAGACAAGCGTAGTATCTTTTCTAAGAAGTGTTGAGACAAATGTCAACCTTTAAGGTTTTCTCTTGCCAAGTGTTACGTTTGATTTAAAATCCCCATACTTTTGACTTCTTGCTGTGTTGTTAACTTTTTAATTCCCCAGATGAATCAAAGATGATGCTTCTCTCGAAAGTTGTCATCCCCGTGAAGTTTCATTAGTTCTCCCAAGAGAAGTTTGTGCAACCACTACTCTTGGTATTAAAGATTGTTTTCATGCTCCCCTTGGTGTGTGTGGTTTCATTTTACCTAGTGAAGTCAATACGGTTTCCCTAGTTGAAGTCTAGACGATGTGGCATTGTCTTTCTTAGCGACATTTGTTTGATATTCCTGGTGAAGCCTGGAGGAGGGTGTTATATCCATGCAACTATATTGGTTTATTGCTATCAAATTATGCTTTGATTATGTTTTTCAAACCATGTTTCTTCCTGTGATATGGTGGCAGAACCGACTGTTATACTGGTTTGCGTTTTGTATTCTCAAATGTGCGGTAAGCAAGAGTCACCACTGAAACAATCGGTTGAACAATCAACTGATACTGAAATCCATGAAGTCGCCATCGAACGTTTTTATCCCACAAGAAGGGAAATGTAAACATCGAGTAAACCTGAGAAGGGTGAAATCACGATCAAACGATCGAGATATCGGGTAAGGGAGTCTGTTACGCAAGGGAAAGGTATTAGCACCCCACATGCCCGTAGTACTCTATGGTATCCACTCTTGTTGTTCTAATCAAAGAGTGTGTAAGAATCTATATCTAAACTGTACAAGGAATGCATGCAAAAGAAAGGAGAAAAGAATGTAGGGAAAATAAAAGGTGTGCTCGCTCGGGCCTTACCTCAATTCCTATGTATACCTTTTAAGGAATCGGAGCAGCCGTAGTTCGGCTTCAAAAGTTTTGTTGGTTTGTATTTTCTAATGAACAATATTAATTCTGCCTTCTACCGTAACTCGACCTTTGGAGACTTACGCGTCAACACAAAAGTGAACTAACATGTTCTTTATAAAAAGTTTGAAAGAAAAGCCCGAAGGTGCAAAAGAGTTTGCATTGGTTGATATTTTTTACCTTAAAAAAAGATTTGAAAATTGTTAGATGTTTTATGCATTTGCTAAGAAAAAGAAAGTTTTCGTTTTAATGCGAGGATGCAAAAGAAAGAGAAAACATATAAGGGAAACTAACCTAGACCTATCCCTAATGTTATCATATAATAATTGATCCTAAAGTTGTGTTTTGAAGGGAAATCTCTACCCTATGTTGACATGCATGGATAACAATTATAATGTCTATCTCAACTCATCATCTGTAGATGAATCAAGAAGTCCTAACGGAGCATATCACGGGTCTATCACCTAAAACTATGTCTATCTTGAATCATCATCTATAGTTGAGTGGAGAGCTTATAAGGGAACATGCCGAGGGTATATCATCTGAAAGCATGCACACAAAGATGAAATCAAACAAGCAAGCCAATAAGCTCAAGAGAGCACACCTAGAGAGATCATATCTAGGCTAGTATGCCAAAGAAAGTCAAACAAAAACTATCCTATAGGGAACATGCAATGAGAGCGAAGTCGTGATCTTAATTTCTAAATTGAGTGACTCATCAATCAACAAGAAATGAAGGAAAGCAATGAAATCCTATAGGGAGCATGCACTGAGAGCGAAGTCGTGATCTCAATTTATAAATTTAGTGACTCATCGATCAACAACCAAGGAAATAAACACAAGAACAACACATATAGCAAGTGAAGTGAGGAATTCCTTCTACAGGTCTTTAAATAGCGACTTCGAGTGCACGCTCTTTATTTCCTACTTCTCGTGATATCTAGAAAGAAGTAAAGGGCAAAAATGAGATAAACAAGAGAAAATACCAAAAAAATATCAATCCGTAGCAAAGCCTATAAAAATAAAGAAATCCGACGATCTTTGCGAAAAGCTTCACCAATCAAAGAAAAGAATCAAAAATCAAATACTCAGAATAAGTGTCGAAACATCATCGATGTGAAATAAATCACAATCGGAATCTCAAGCATATCTGCATATTGCACACTAAACCTACATAAGACTCAAATCTCAACAAGCCAAGGTGAATCACAAATTTCGAATAATCGGATAACAATGAATTAATTCCTAAAATCAAATAAAAAAAATCTAACAAATTGTTATATTTGATTTTATTATTTTTATCATGTGATGACAAAATTCAAGAAAATCTAAACAATTCACAAAAATAATTGAAATAAAATTGCAAAAAGTATAAGAAACAAAGCCAAAGGGTTGCATGCTAGAATTCATGTGGTGCGCTGAAGCTGAAACTATGCACAACCCAAGAGAGATAATCCAATAAGCCAATTTTTGTTACAAGCTTCCAAGCTATAAAAAAAATAATACAAGCCCAAGCAAAGTCCAATAACAACTACCAAAATTTTGTTTGCTTTAACCTGTCTAAAAAAAACAAACGAGCTCCATGGGCTTTGGTTCGATTTGCATTAACACAAGCCCAACAATTATTTTAGCCATGATTCTATCTCATTATCCTAAATAAAAGCCATTAATCAGCATCATCCCACAATTTATTAACAAAAAATGAAGTTATTTAATGTAAAAAAAACAATTAGGGTTCAATTAGGTGTGACTCCCCAGCTTCTTGTGGAACTCAAAACAAGAGTTTCTCTTCTCCATAAACGGCAATCACCGACACCAAACGTCACCGTCCCCACCACTGGTCTTCACCCCTCCGTATGTTGCCGTCTCCATTAACATCATCAACTTTGTGAATCGTCTGATGCTTAAACGAAAAAAACCAACATACATGGATCTAAAAGGTGAATTCAAAAGAAGATGCGGTTGTGCAATCACAAGGTTCTGATCCACATGCATCAAGTCACACAGAGATGATCAGAAGTCGAACGAGTTCAAGGATTTACCTGCCGGAGAAGTCTGACGCTTCTTCAGATCGGTGAAGACAAAGTTTTCAGAGATGAATCTTGTATGTTCTTTACTCTACTATCTTCGTGATTTCACTCTTCACTCCTCCTTTTTCTTCTACTCGCGATTTCTGCGTGATGCATTTTTGTGTGTTTGTGTTGTAACATTTTGTGGTTACAAATTCTTTGTTGTTGCGTTGAAGATGATATAAAGTATTGTTCGTCGTTGTTGCAGATTCTTCGTTTTCTGCAAATTTTTTGAAATACCGGTGACGAAGATTGAAATTGTGCAATCATAATTACAGTATGAAGCTCTGCAAATTGAAGTTTGTTGAAGCTGTATTGATGATAAAGATGAAGTTGTTGCAGTGGTTCATTGAAAGATTTGGTTATTGTGATGGATAAGCGAGGATGAGGAGGAAGCGTGGTAGTTATGGGTGAAGGTGGTAGAAGAAGAAGGAAGATGAGAGTGAAGAAAGAGTCTGTGATGGTGATTCTTCTGCAGAATGAAGAATCATGAAGAAGATGAAGGGTCTTGAGAAATGAAGAGTGAAAAGAGAGTTCTGTACTGTCCTTCTCGTGAGTTTCCTCTCCCTCTCCTTCTTTAACTTTATTCTCCCTGAAATCGCAACTCTCTTTCTGTTATATCGTTCAGTTGATAGAAAGTTAGTTAGAGTTTGTTGGAAGAATCAGTTAGAGCTGAGTCAGCATCTGATTAGGCGGTTATGAGATTCTGTTAGATTCAGTTAGGATGAAAACTATTAGTTAGTAGCAGTTAGTTAGCTGTTCGTTTATGGGAAGTTAGAAAACAATTAGGAGTTTTACTGGAAGTTTGTCAAATGCTCTTGAGCTGAAAATTTGGTTTTATTCTAAGGGATGCAGCTTTGTGAACTGACAGTCAGTTTTGAAGCTGAGTTTTATTTTCTGTTTTTATCTTCTGGCTATACAAATGAAGGACACTTTTCCTTTTCTGTTATTTTTATTTTCCTCCTTCTGAATAAGGCAACAAGGCTGGTTGCTAGTAGGCTTTTGATGGACTGGTTTTTGTTGTGAACTGGTTTTCTATTTGCTGCCTCTATTTTGTTGTTGGGCTAGAGTGTTGTTTTCATTATTTCCTGATTCTTTGTTTTCGCGATTTCTTGAATTCATCTTCCATCCTATTTTATATTCTCTGTTATGAGTTTTTCCTTCTGATTTTGAGCAAGGGAATTTGTTTAGATTGCTTGAGTGCAGGGCTGATATTCGGTGATGTTGTAGGGCATAATAGGTTCCAACTATGAAATGATAGATGAGGGCAACAGTATGTTCCAATGGAAAGCCTGGTACTGATATGAGGTAGGTTTGCAATTAGCGTCTGTCTGTGATTTGCACCGTGGATGTACGAGCGCTAATTATTATTTTCTGTACTGAACTTGCATTGCAGGGTTGCTGAATTATAGGTTCACGGAACTTTACGCCAACGAGGTTGAAGAAAGTTAGCATGGGCATGAAGTTTATACCATGGAAAAACTACTTGAAGTCGTGAAAAGTGAAGGAGAGTTTTGAAGATGGAAAAAAAATCTTATAGCACAAAGAAGATTGAAGATGGGGTTTAGGTTTTAGGACATGTTGTACTCCCTTTTTATCATGTAAAGAAATATGTTCATAATATCTCCTCTTTTGTATAATGCTTTTGAAATCATAGGTCACAATGGTTTGTAATGGTTGAACTTGGCAATATTGACGATGGTGTTTTCTTATAATCTATTGTTATGCTTTTGGTAACTTGTATTGACTTATGACTCTAGTGAAATTTGAATGCATTTTCACTTTTTTTATGCCATGTCAAAAAAACTAAATGTATGCATCCAATAGCCTAGCCATGGTCAAATACCAATAAAGAACCAACATGATATTTTAGAATTCAATTTTACCTCCCTTGAGAGGTATTGACTCTTTTTCCATGTTATTCTTCAAATGCAACTTGAATCCATAGCAAATATTAGATGAAAGCTCAAGGGCGACCTTGCTCCAAAAGGTAATTTTCCAAAGTGTATTTTGACCGAAGTCAACATATCTTATCCATGTATCTTGAACTTAGCCCATGATTATACATCTCAAGATCTTATAAGAACTTGTAAGCCAATCAACTAGGTATGCCATGTTGGAAAAAACCTGCTTTGAATGCCTTCACCCTTGAATCATGACGAACCTGGAATCACTTTGCATGGATTTTTAAATAAGAAGCCTACTTCAATCCAAATCTACTCGTATTGCAGACAACAAATGACAATGATAAGAACAATAATTGCCTTGATTAATAAGAAGTCCACAAATTCATATCTTAGGTCATGAATCACGCTTCACAATCGATCCTTAGCCCTTAGCGACTGGTTATCTCAACTCGAAATTAATGTCACGAGGAACATATTTACAGATAGACGGTAAGGTTTGGATCACGGAAGAATTCCCTTGACATGAAACCCTAGTCGCACAAATGAAAACCCCCCACACTTGTCGAGACTGGATAAAAACAATTATATCCTGAAGAGAAAGAAATCCTGATAACCACACCTCACAACCTTGATTCCTCGATTCATATGCACAGAGAAATATCCAGATGAAATATATTTGAGCCATGATTCAACAAAACCTGAATTACTTAACCGACGAGTGGATGAATGCCATGTCATAGTCATTAATCCTGATCAAATGATAAGCACACTTATATGAGGAGACGTCTTGATTCAAATACTATGTATGCTAGGTCACACCCTTGAGTCCTTGACAAGAAAAACCTGCAATCTGTTGTTTAACAAAAGATAATAACCTTGTAGCTTGTGGGAGAAGAAGTCCAAACTGAACGCGCACCAACACCCTAATTCCATAGTCTTGTACACCAAGGAGAACCAGAATAATCAATCTTATTCAATATATACCCCTCCAATCAGTTGTAAACCCTAACTTCATAACTACTGATAATTTGAACCTTAGATGCTCTTTTGAATGCAATGCATGCTACGTTAGCTAATGGAACATATGCAGATGAGTGCAAAAGTCTAAGCCAAAATAAGAGAAATTAGGAGGGCAAATTTTGGGGTGCAACAACCACCGACTTTTCTTTTATCCAATAGAAGAAAGGGTGAAAAGAACATAAAAAGACCTTTTTTCGAGAGTTTTCTGAGTAAGGGGGTAGATTATGGAAAGGGAATGTGTTAGCATCCTTTCCATCTATAGTTTTCTACGAGCTCTTAGGTACCTGCTCATTTTGAAAATTCCTTTCGTGTTTGTGTGTTTTGAAAATTTTGTTTGCTTTATGCTAACTCTTGTATCATTCCTCAATAGTTTTGGTAAAGTGTTTTTTTTTTAAAATGGTTTTGAAAGTGTAAGGTGAAAAAATGGTTTTTGAGAAAATACCTAATAGCTATCTACCTACTCGAAAAAGGTGTTTTTTTCTTCCTTTCCTTTAGATAGTGCCATCCTACTATTAGTGAGTAGGTAGCCCTATCGTTGGATGTTGAGGGACTATCGAAGGGACGTTTACGGTCACTAAGGCAACTGGGTAAGAACTTTTAGTAATTGTCCTAAAGTTCTAAGATCACTTTTTAACCGAGGCGACATCAAAAGGGTCATCGAGGGACTTGTGATCTCTTGAAGTAAAGGACAACCATTAAAAATTCTCACGTTTCGAGAATTGTGACTGTTTTCAAAGGCAACCGAAGTGGGAGATACCCTAGGGGTGAGCATGTGCAAGTGTATTGATTCAGTTCATTTATCTTGCGCATTAGGATTATCTAATCGTTTTCTTTTCAGTCTTTTTTATGCAATCCTATTAATCTAAGTAGTTAATAATAGTGCAAGAAATTATATTGCAGAAAATAAAATTCCTAAGCTATTACAAGGCCTTGGGGCAATTACATAAATAGCACAAGAACATAAAATGCGGAATTTTAAACCTAATTAAAATTATTACAAACCGGGAAACAGTTACATAATTGGAAAATAAAGATAAAATGGAATAAAGATAAACGCGCGAACAAGTTGAAAAGTCCTATAAAATCTAATTGTTTAATAAAACATTTTTGGTATCTTATTGAGAAAAAGATTTGAAATTTTAACCTAATTTCTAATTAATTTTAATTTAAAGAAAACATGATAAAGTAATTAAATTAATTAATTTTCAAAAATTAATTAATTTTCAAAAATTAATTTTAATTATGAAAAACCTAATTCTATTTTTTTTTGTGATTTTTTTATTGATTTTATGAAAAATAAAAAAAACTGATTTTAAAACAATTAAAATAAAATAAAGAAATTGAAAAAAACAAAAATGAGAGAATGGGCCTGATAGTGAAAGCAGTTTTAGGGTGCAAGTTGAAAAAATGCTAGGCCCAGGTCAACACAAGCCTGACGCCCTTGTCTGAGATCCAGTGGGGGATGTGTTTGAGGGTCCACCATGGGGATTGATTGCTGGGTGCTGGATCTGAATTGTGTATGATCCAATGATTGAGATATGGAGATGCATGATGGACGTATTGAGGTGCCATCTACTGGAACCTGCAAGAAACGTTAGGAAAAATGAAAAATTGTTGGACCTGGGATTGAACACAGGTCCCTTCCCTCAAACATTTGCACCCTTACCATCTGCGCTGTTAAATCATTCATGTATATAATCACTTAATAATATTATATATGAAGCAAAGGTGGATTCCAGGTCATAAAAAAATCGCGCGCGTCAGCAATTCACATGGGCCAATCAAATTATATGATATTTACATGCATGTAGTCAACCCAAACCTCAACCCTTGACTCACTAGAGAAGCACCTGAGCCCTAGCTCCAGTCGCCTTCTCCCGAAACCCTAACCTCCGAACCTGCACAAGAGTCAAAATCAAAACGAAAGAAAGGGCCTATCCCCCTAAATCGATCATGGCGAGTTCAATGGTGGCCTCCCTTTTGGCTAATGTGACCTGTA